AACTTGCTTTCATGCAACTTATAATGTGTTCAATTGATCTAATAATTCTACATTTTCAAATACGAAACTCTCTCAGTTGTTCGATAGTATTTCCGACTTGGTTCCAGGTTTTTAAGTACCCGGATCTCATAATACTCTCGAATATAACAATTGTATTCATAACTGGACACTCGTTGACGGATGAGATGGGACCAATACTGATTTTAGCTTTAAAAAACGATTATGCTGGAGTCTGATATCGAGATGGTCGAGAAAATATCTACAAAGTAATACTAAAAACAAAACCGATTAACATTTTATCACATAACTCACGAAAGCATGCCGGAAGTAATATAGTGACCTAGATAATAGCAGCAGGAGACGAAATTGATTCAAAAATATTCGTGCTAACATCGAGAGTATCACTTGAATTACCGAATTTCTGCACAATGATGGAATAAAGTTTGCAGCTACATGAAAAAACTAGGGAAAAAATCACAAGTCAAGGCAATCGACGACCACTGTCTGTAAAAATGGCGAACTTGGTAGTTCCTGTTTTACTCCGAATGGTGGCTAAGTAGATTGCCTAAATAAAAAACCAGAGTTGGGTTTGTTTCTAGTCAACTAGCACATGAGGCAAGAGTTGAACTCTGCCTCTCGCACCCACACTAACCAATATATTTTTGGTATAACTTTGTTTGTATTGTACGGTCATCGGTGTATTCATAGTATATGGATATGATGGAGTAGTGATTCATGAGAGGTATAAACTATGAGGTATTATTTTGATGTAAGCTGGTCGATCATGGTACTGCCATCCAACTCAAGCAGGCCCTCAGTCATAGACACAGACCACCTACGTTGGTGATCTAAAACACCATAATATAGTTTTCATCCGTCAACTCCTTCATGTTAAAGTCTATTTCTACTTCAGAAACCTCACAATTCTGTCAGTTCAAGGCGCTTTTTGTGGGTAGTTGAGGTTTCTTCTTCATTGGATGTACTCAGATACATCATGGTGATATCAAGCATTTTGTCAGTAGCCATTACAAATGTGTGAAAGAGGTTTCCTGTCAAAAAAATTTCTTTTGACACTTACATTATTTTTATGCTCCATTAAAGCAAAGAAAGCAACCTGACACTTGTCTTCAAAACTTGGATTGTCTAAAGAGGCTCTTGACATGACATGTTCTGATATCTAACAGTAATACTAACCAGAAGACAAATAAGGGACAGGGTCACTTTTGTCGAATGTAGTGCAGAATTGTGGTCTACTTCCGTTATTAGTACTGCTCCAATTATAGACCTAATACCAAATTTTGTCATGATGTCATGATGTGATCACCTAATCTTTAGGATCTCATGTGGAAGTTACACCATTGTTTACACTAACTCATCATATGGTACCAAATACCCAGTATTTCTGAAGAACACATTTGAGCTGAAGGTAGAATAACATATTTAATGTGAATGAAGACAAGTTATACAGAATGAGCACGCCTGAAAGACGGAGCCATGTTACCGCATTCCCCATTGTCGGCCTTCTCTTCTTGTCAATCGATGAACATATTTCTTTCAAGCAATTATATGCTCGGCTTCATGGGTCGTTCGGTTAGGACCCAGTGTCACTACAAGTTCATCTCTGTTGATTAACTTACGAACAATCGTTTGATTAATTCTAGTGCGTTATATCTGAATCCTTCCAATATTTATCAGTTTTTTTACTATCTATCTATCCATCTGGCTGTCTAAATGTACCATAGGTATTCGTAGTTTGACAACACCTTTACACGAAAACCTACACATAATCAAAGTATAACAAGCCGGTCAAATCAGAAGTCATCCTGACTATGGCTCTCAGCTTCCTTTTATGACCAAAACAACAAATGTAAGCAGCATACTGATAGTGGATTTCTAGATTTTTTATAGTTCAACTTGCTTTCATGCAACTTATAATGTGTTCAATTGATCTAATAATTCTACATTTTCAAATACGAAACTCTCTCAGTTGTTCGATAGTATTTCCGACTTGGTTCCAGGTTTTTAAGTACCCGGATCTCATAACACTCTCGAATATAACAATTGTGTTCATAACTGGACACTCGTTGACGGATGAGATGGGACCAATACTGATTTTAGCTTTAAAAAACGATTATGCTGGAGTCTGATATCGAGATGGTCGAGAAAATATCTACAAAGTAATACTAAAAACAAAACCGATTAACATTTTATCACATAACTCACGAAAGCATGCCGGAAGTAATATAGTGACCTAGATAATAGCAGCAGGAGACGAAATTGATTCAAAAATATTCGTGCTAACATCGAGAGTATCACTTGAATTACCGAATTTCTGCACAATGATGGAATAAAGTTTGCAGCTACATGAAAAAACTAGGGAAAAAATCACAAGTCAAGGCAATCGACGACCACTGTCTGTAAAAATGGCGAACTTGGTAGTTCCTGTTTTACTCCGAATGGTGGCTAAGTAGATTGCCTAAATAAAAAACCAGAGTTGGGTTTGTTTCTAGTCAACTAGCACATGAGGCAAGAGTTGAACTCTGCCTCTCGCACCCACACTAACCAATATATTTTTGGTATAACTTTGTTTGTATTGTACGGTCATCGGTGTATTCATAGTATATGGATATGATGGAGTAGTGATTCATGAGAGGTATAAACTATGAGGTATTATTTTGATGTAAGCTGGTCGATCATGGTACTGCCATCCAACTCAAGCAGGCCCTCAGTCATAGACACAGACCACCTACGTTGGTGATCTAAAACACCATAATATAGTTTTCATCCGTCAACTCCTTCATGTTAAAGTCTATTTCTACTTCAGAAACCTCACAATTCTGTCAGTTCAAGGCGCTTTTTGTGGGTAGTTGAGGTTTCTTCTTCATTGGATGTACTCAGATACATCATGGTGATATCAAGCATTTTGTCAGTAGCCATTACAAACGTGTGAAAGAGGTTTCCTGTCAAAAAAATTTCTTTTGACACTTACATTATTTTTATGCTCCATTAAAGCAAAGAAAGCAACCTGACACTTGTCTTCAAAACTTGGATTGTCTAAAGAGGCTCTTGACATGACATGTTCTGATATCTAACAGTAATACTAACCAGAAGACAAATAAGGGACAGGGTCACTTTTGTCGAATGTAGTGCAGAATTGTGGTCTACTTCCGTTATTAGTACTGCTCCAATTATAAACCTAATACCAAATTTTGTCATGATGTCATGATGTGATCACCTAATCTTTAGGATCTCATGTGGAAGTTACACCATTGTTTACACTAACTCATCATATGGTACCAAATACCCAGTATTTCTGAAGAACACATTTGAGCTGAAGGTAGAATAACATATTTAATGTGAATGAAGACAAGTTATACAGAATGAGCACGCCTGAAAGACGGAGGCATGTTACCGCATTCCCCATTGTCGGCCTTCTCTTCTTGTCAATCGATGAACATATTTCTTTCAAGCAATTATATGCTCGGCTTCATGGGTCGTTCGGTTAGGACCCAGTGTCACTACAAGTTCATCTCTGTTGATTAACTTACGAACAATCGTTTGATTAATTCTAGTGCGTTATATCTGAATCCTTCCAATATTTATCAGTTTTTTTACTATCTATCTATCCATCTGGCTGTCTAAATGTACCATAGGTATTCGTAGTTTGACAACATCTTTACACGAAAACCTACACATAATCAAAGTATAACAAGCCGGTCAAATCAGAAGTCAGTACTCTATGTTTTTAATATTTGTTTATCAGGCTATTTGTTTGTCGATAAGCGATCGTTCTAAACTGGTCAGTAGCTTTAAGTTATTCGTAGCGTGGCGTACCCACTCGTTACCTGGTGCGGATGAGTAACCAAGAGGTTTCACCTATGTTTGTGCAGTAAAATTAATGAGTTCTGCATCTCTATATAAAACCCACGGAACTTCATATTTCGGGGTTTTGTTTGTCATTGCGCATATATCTACTTATATATTTATTTGTCTGTCTATCTATCTATCTATCTATCTATCTATCTATCTATCTATCTATCTATCTATCTATCTATCTATCTATCTATCTATCTATCTATCTATCTATCTATCTATCTACTATCCATCTATCTATCTATCTATCTATCTATCTATCTATCTATTTATCTATCTATCTATCTATCAGATAATCACATTACATTACTATGATGATGTCCGAATATTTGATCCACTTTGGGTAGCCGACACTATAGAGTTTGAATTGTTATCAGTAGTATGCAGATTAGACTGGTTTAATGTATTTCTGGATTTATTTCACTACATCACAATTGCTAGACATTATATTGTCAGTGTTATTTCTATTCCTATACAGTTGCAAGTAATTCTAAGTGCCAGTGTTGATATAAATCCAACCCAATTTAAAAGCTGTTTAAATCTGGTGTTATTTCGATGATACTTTTACTTCTATTCGGTAATGTCTACTTATCCTTATTGTGGTTGTTTATTACTAATATATAAGCTAGTGAATGTAGTTAATTCCACATATACTCAGAAACATTTATCTCCTAGATCTTACCTAATTCACTTCTCAGCTATAAAGTGTTATTATAACGAATATAGCACATCACTAAAGACCTGGAACTGTACCTAAACAACAGGAAGTGAACACAAAAATACTGTTTGAAGATGCCGCAAGTAATCGGAGTTTGATGACATTTTATCCATTAACACCAATAGTTGAATCGCGCCTACAGACTGAAATCAAAAGTCAGGGGGGAAGAGATTCAAAAATACATTTGATAGGTTATGATTATATCGAGAAGTGACTGATCTAAACTGGCTAGCGGTCTCTGGAGAAATTGAACACGGCGTTCTAACTTGTGATTTTGTATGTGTCTCCTTCAGCTAGGTGAGCCGATTAAAAGTAATGTGGTCGGCATCAAACGTTGGAGAATTATGGAGCTATTGGTTTTGCGTGTTTGTTTACAAGACACTTTATACAGTTTCGAATCCAATATATTGGATATTGGAGGCCCGAACCACTTCTTCAAACACTTACGGCACGGTAATGGTTCGAGATTTCTTCCATACGTTATCATACATCAAGATATTTGAGCTAACAATCAAATAGCATGGATCTTTATACAAAATTCGCAACATCCGATGAAAAGTAGAGGCCCTAAGCAACTTATAAGTTACAATACATGTTGATCAACATGAATCGATTCAGCGATGTTACTATTTTTCTGAGTTATTTTGATGTCTAGAAGCTCAGTCAACAGTAAGTGATTTCTTCATCGTGTCATAGTACTAGCGCTTTTCTTAAGTATGGTGTCTTCAGAGTAGTGAAACAGCATCTAAACATGTACACTTCCCCCCTCTTACAACGTTTAGTCTCAACTAACCAAATGAATTGGAGATTGCATTTATTCCTTCAAGAATTTCTGGGTACTGCCTCGTGTTTTGTTTCCCTCGTAGACCTGTCTAAAGAGTTGTAGGTCTATGTCTTCTCACTTTCCAGGACTCATTTTTAAAATTTCTACAACATTAACTTTTGTCCAGTGTTGAGAATTTAGGTTTAAATCCTTCTTCTTCTTCTTCAAAAAATGTATATTTACAATAGTTTGACAAGTCTTTCAAGTGAAAATATAGCTTTTAACACAGTCAATTCCAGGTTTTCAAACACTAAATGTTACGCGGTATGTGTGGCTCATAGTTTCAGTTTGTAAATGACTGGAGTCTTGATGGCCTGTGTTAGTCCTGGCAATGATGGTCTCTCAGTTGGTTCAACTTTCTTTTGAAAGAGTCGACGGATGGTGCCTGTTTTGAAGACAGGACTTACTATGGCGTTCTTCCAGTTTTTCGGTAAACGACCCTGGGTTACGGATAGATTAAAGCATATACTTAAAGGGTTCGCAACGAAGTTATCTAATTCCTTTGGTAACCTAGAACTTATTTCATCGGGCCCCGTGGATTTGCCTATGTCAAGCTTATTTAGTAGACCAAAGACATCGAATTCTTTAATGGTCACATTGTCGATTATGTGTGGAAGGGTTTTCTATGCACTGACGAGAACAGTGTTTCTATGGTATATACATTGCTAAAGTAGTTTGAGAATACCTGAGCATTACCAAAGTCGTCCTCCACTAATGATGAAGCAGTACTTTCTCCCCATACTGCAGGAATATTTCCTCTTCTTTTTGTCCTTTGGTTTATATACGAATACAAGCGTCTAGGACATTCTATGGATTCCTTGACAATTTTCTCTTCGTACAACATTCTAGACTTACGGAGAGTCGAGGCACAGGTATTCCGAGCTTTTCGATTTTAAGATTTTGTCTCATCAGTCCTCATTAACCTAAATCTATCCCACATTTTTCTCTTACGGAGAAGGATGCGAACCTCCCTATTGAACCATGGTGAGGAGTTTCTCGGTCCCTTTGGTATAGTCCAAGGGATGTAACTTTTAAGCATAAATTTCAAAATACGTCCCAAGCCGTTTCAATTGAGGACTCTGGCTCCATTGTCCAATCTACTGACGATGCTGAGTGCATGATATGTTACCATAAAATGTTATTTAATTGTAATATGTATTGTGATTCCCTTGTCTTGACCTTTGCTAAAGGACGCTTCTTTCATCATATTTTGTAGTGATGTATTAAAAGTTTGACTTAATAGTACGTCCCTCTATAACTTTTGAAAAATATTTCCTTAACCCCTATCAAAATGTGATTACTTCTGTAAGCTAATGCCCCCAAATGCCCTGGTATGGCCGAGAGTGGGGAGAGTCCGCTCACCCTCTCGAAATGCTCTCACATGGCCACGCGTATACAGCCTCTGCCAGGGAAGTCCTACTCACTGCCTTCACGTGGAAGGGGTGTTGTTTACGAAAATGAGAGGACGAAAAGCGAATGTCCGGCGCTATAACCGGATCCCAAACCAATGGTTCACATGGGCTCCAGTATCCTGCGAGAACAAATGGCTTATGAACCAATCGTTGGTTACCGGCTACCATGGGACTGCATCTCCTCACGATGCTCCACTGCCTTGTGGGTGAGACCTTTAGGTCAAAGGCTCGTGGTGTGGTCCCCTAAGAAAACCACCTGCTTCGGTCTGAGCACCCGAGCAGTATCACAGCCCACGCACAAATATAATGAAAATGATGATGATTTTGTGTGGCGCATATATATTTGTTGCCCTCCTGTACCAATATTTATGTGTTCAAATATAATAATAAAATCTGTGAGCTAATAGTGTACAGTACTGCATTTTTAAGAGGAAAAAATAATTTTAACGTACTTCGGCGACTTAAGATTAAGTGTGGTAGCTATTTTAGTTTATGTAATCATTAACTATGTTTTAGCAATGTTTTGTTGGCACAAATTTGTACCAACCAGGAATTCTAAACTTCCTTGCTGCGCTCTATATAATACTTGTAATCTCTTAATAAAGACCCTTAATAAGATGGCTTGCGATCCGTCTCTGCTGCCTATCTAAATTCCGAGTGTCGTGAATTTCCATACATTTCATTCGTTCCTCTAGAACCATGTTTGGCATGTTTCTGTTCTCAATGTCATCCTTCTCCTTGCTTCTTTAGTTAGTTTCCTCCCCTTCTCTTTGTGTCAGTGTGGCGATTTCGGACCAGCACACGTGTGCCAGATCTTTGTTGATGTCTACCTGATAACACCTAGCTAAATTCTTAGGCTTATTTGTTAGTTATAGTGTTTTTTTATATATATCTAAAACACATGTGGATTGGTTTGCCGAAAACTACATAGTACTTCTGCTAACAGACGCAATATGTAATCACTGCCTGCTGCGGAACACTTTAAGGAGCAGTTTAGCTGGCCTTCAGCTACTCTACAACTACCCTCTATTCCCAGACAGCGTGAATGGAACATTGAAGTAGGTCCCCCATCTCTAACTGAAGTTCAAAAGGCTATAGTTAATCTGAAACGAGGAAGGGCAGTTGGTCCAGATGGATTGGCCCCAGAGGTCTTTAAAGATGGTGGTCTAGTTTTAGCGACTAGGTTGACTAATATTTTAGCTAAAATCTGGGAGTTAGACGTTATCCCATCTAACTGGTCACAATCACTTATCGTCCCAATATTTAAGAAAGGGTCAAAATCATCCTGTGACAACCACAAAGGGATTAGTTTGACTAATATAGTATCTAAAATACTAACCTCGATAATTTTCGGACGCCTAACTAAGACTCGTGAACTGCAAACACGTGAAAATCAGGCTGGCTTCAGACCTGGTCGTGGCTGCATCGACCACATATTCACCATTCGTCAGGTTCTAGAACACAGGCATACTTATCGGCGTCCAACAATGGTGGTATTCCTTGACTTAAAAGCTGCGTTTGACTCTGTTGACCGAGAGGTTCTGTGGCAGTGTATGTCATTGAAAGGCGTACCTCAGAAGTACATAAACCTTGTGAAGGCTCTTTACTCGAACACTACTAGTCGGGTCAGAGCCTATGGCGAACTGTCATCCGCTTTTGCAACCTCAAGTGGTGTCCGTCAAGGCTGTCCACTTTCTTCATTTTTGTTTAACTTCATCATAGATCTACTGATGGAAATAACGCTCTCATCGACTGAATTCTCGGGTATTGATCTCTTACCAGGAGGTCCACTTATCGACTTAGAATACTCAGATGACATAGTCCTGTTTGGTGAAGACGCTGATGAAATGCAGAGTTTTTTGGTAGCACTGAGCAAAAATGCCAGAATGTTTGGGATGCGCTTCTCTCCCTCTAAATGCAAGTTGTTGCTTCAGGTCTGCATCAACACCTGAACTAAGGATAGGGAGTGAAGTAGTCGAACGGGTTGACAACTTCACTTATCTTGGAAGTCTGATCAACCCTAATGGGTTGGTGTCTGACGAAATCTCAGCACGGATTCGAAAAGCTCGTTTAACCTTTGCCAACTTACGTCATCTATGGCGCAGGCGAGATATCCACCTATCAATTAAGGGACGAGTATACTGCGCGGCAGTTCGTTCCGTTCTACCATACGGCTGCGAAACATGGCCTTTGAGAGTAGAAGATATTCGTAAGTTACTAGTATTTGACCACAGGTGCCTTAGAAATATTGCGGGTATCTGCTGGGATCACCGGGTAAGTAATAGTGAGGTTAGACGCAGGGTATTAGGGAATGATGGTAAATCAGTTGATGAGGTTATGAATCTTTATCGACCGAGATGGTTAGGCCACGTTCTGCGTATGCATGAACACTGATTACCCTGACGCGCAATGCTGACTAGTGTAGGGGATAATTTGAAGAAAGTTAGGGGCAGCCAAATCAAAACGTGGCATCAGTGCTTGAAGTCAATAACTTCTGGTCTGAGCCATGTTGGAAGATTCAGACTGCCTGGTTGGGGTCCGCGTGACTATCGTAACCAATGGTTGGAGACTCTTGGTGACATGGCTCAGAATCGATTACAATGGCGTCAGTGTATACACTCTCTGTCTTCCTTAAATTAAGAGATTAAAATCGCTTCATATCTTTCTAGGAACTAATTCTTTCTTCCTGTACTATCTCCTTATATGCAATCTTCTATATATTACCACTGAATTAACTACTTGTATGAATCCGGTGTTCATCTTGTTGTGCTAATGCGGTATGGCAACTTGGTCCGATGCATATACGTGCCTGGTCCTACGTTGCAGCTGACTGCCTGCTGCTGTCATAGTCCCTTGATAATGAAACACTATTGGAAATTCTTCTTTTCGAGATTTGTTCATAGAAAGGTTTTGTCACTGCATTTTAATGGTAGTAATGTTTTTTTTTCAAATTAAATTAAAAATAAGCTATCTTTATAAATAGATGTTTTGAGTAATCTGGTTAGGCGATGGGCTTCAACTTCTTACCATAGTTTTTTCAGCGATAGTATTCTTGTAATAAAATCGCTAAAATAGTTTCATGAACCATCACATTATACAGGGGTAGGACTATCGAGCGTTATTTTAAGCTTTTCGACAAAATGCACATAGTTGAATGTAAATTTTGTCACCCTCCCACAATGCCTTAACTGATCATTAAAAAGGTACACAAATCTAATTAGTTTGTTTTTGCTTAGTTTATTATTGATAGCCTTCTCCAACTGTAACTAATAAAATCCCTTATTATTTGACGATGGTTTTTGAATTTACGGCACATAAAATCACATAACAACTTCTAATCATACATCTTAAAAACGCACTACGTTACCGTTATAACGCTCGATTTTCTCGTCCATACGAATGGGATGCGAATTTACCTTAGCCGAATATCTACATTAGATATCCTCTCAGTGTCTATTCTACAGGACTTCAACACAACTCAGATCAAAATTACGTGACTAGTCTGACTAAAGCGTAAGTATATTTCCACACCAAAAACCGACAACAATCACAATAATAATAAGGGTGGGAAAATATATAACCCATCTAGTATCTGTTAGACTATCTACTAGTCTGACTAAACGAACAACCAATCATTATCTTTTTAGCCCACACATCAATTGCTTACCCTAAAGATTCTTATGATTGTTCGTATGTAATTTCTCTAATTAATTTTTAACCATCAATTTACGGCATAAACTCTAAATAAAATATTTTCTCCTTTTGTGTTAGAAGACGTACCATTTTTACCATACTATGTCAACTGGGCTTGCCCTTGGTTTCGCTGTTGAGAGTGCACCCTGGCACTTGGTTTCTCATTTATTCCCAGATAAAGTTGGTGGGCGACCAGCTTGGCTAGCTCTTCAACACTTACCATCTCCTAGTGAACTAGAGTGTCCAGTATGTTTGAATCCAATGTGTTTTCTCTTACAGGTATTGTCAGCATCCTAACCACTTATACTACCTAGATATACTCCCCTCTATCTGAAAAACCTGACTGTTTTCATCGGATGTTATTTTTATTTATGTGCCGAAATAGTGAATGTCATTATAAGCCTGATTATGTACCATTCTATGTGTTTCGATCTCAGTTATCAAGGCAAAATTGCTATTACAGGTAGTTATGTATTTTGTCGTAATCCATCTATTATTCCGAAGCTTCGAGCCTCCTGAGAACGAATTTCCCAGTCGCGAAATGGTAAACTCGATGATAAAGGCTAACTCTGTTCCATGGGCTGGCAAATATTCATCTATCTGCCCAATATGTGGATGTAAGGCAGACAAAACTTGTTCAAAGTGTAAAACCACTTCTTATTGTTCTAAAATGCACCAGGTACAGCGTTTTTACTTATTCGGTTAAACATATTTTCTTTTATTGAATTAGGTTCTAGACTGGAAACGACACAAGTTAGAATGTGGTTCAAAATGTCGCGATGTCATGTTATTATTCGAAAAAAATAGTTTCTTACTTCCTGAGTACCGTTTATGTTCTGAACCTGCAGACAACTTTTCTTCATATGATGAAAGTACTTCGGAAGAGGTGGAAAGTGACACTGAAACTGTAGACCTGGGATTTCCAAAGTAAATTAGTCGTAATGTGAATTTCTGTTATGTACAAACGTGGATGATAATTTGATCCGCTACTTTTATCATTTTACTAGTGTGACAGTTTTACATGACACTAACTTTTGTACTAGCTTGTTTGACAAATGTTTAAAGTTATTAGGGCGAAAATTATGGACTTCGCCTTTTTTCGTGCTGACTTTTCAACTGTATCTAAAATCCTAAAGAAGTTCATGCTATATTAGTTCCAGATAAGCGTTACTTAACCCCGGTTCAAAGTTGTTATTAATATGCTACTCTGTATACAAGAGACGTATTACGTTATAAACCATACCTATGCATCACACTTATAGACGCTTAGTGTTAGTACCTACCTAATGAAACTAAAGTAAATTTTGTTAAAACCACTGACTTATTGGTTTCAAAGTAATTGCCCTGATTCTAAAATCACAGCTTTTAAAATTGTATAAAACATCCAACAAATTAAGATTAGAACGTGGTAGACTGGTTTACATATTGGGGGAATTAGAATAGTGAATTGAATAGTAATGTTAGGTCGAGCATTATTAGTACGATCTATACTCCATTAACTAATCTGTGATACTAACATAGTTTACGCTGTATACTCAAAACATGAGTTTGAGTACCGTTTCAGTTATTAAGACTTTATCAGTCTCATACTATTTGCCAAGCACTTCCTGTATATGTTGGGCTTACATATATCCAAACCAATGTATCAACTTAGCAGTAATCCTACACAACTGTAAACTTAGTCTTTAATCCGTGCCATAAGCAGATTTATATATTTCATAGCATATCTATCTTCAATTTTATTACAGTAATCTTTTCTGTGAACACTTTCAGCGATTTTCGAGTAAAGACGACAACTTTATTTTCTTGCTACAAAAATCAAAGTGTGGTTTATCATTTTCACCAAGACTAAATACTCAGGTGATATGTAATAATGTGTTCGTCTTATACGTTATCCTTCTGTTTCTGGTGTTAGTAATATTCGTTTGTTTGTTTAATGTTAAAATTTTTCAGTGATTCTGAAGTTAAAGCGCTTGAATCTATAGCCAAGAAAGAGACTAAAGAAGAAGCCAGATTTAGAATGTTTAGAGAATCAATGAAATCGGCTCCTGACCAAGTAATTACATATGTATATTCTGTGTTAATGAACCGTTAATTGATTCAACCTGATACTAATTTGTGATTCATAAATCCTCAGGTTATTTTTCTTGATACTCTTTAAAATATCCAGTAAAGTTCTAGACATTTTCTTTGTAGTTTAATATAGTTTAGTAAACTCCTAAAATCTCAGACCTAAAGTTATCCTTACATTACAAAAATCATTACATTACTGAAAGGCACTTCTGTGGATCTTAGTTATCTGACTTTACTTGAACACATAAATATTGGTACAAGGAATCATCGAATACATGTGCGCCACACAAGTCACTTGATTTGTGTGTGGGCTGGGATACTACTCGGGTGCCCAAACCGAAGCAGGTAGTATGGATCTTACGGTGTTGCGACTCTGCAAACAGGTAATGACAGCCGTCTGCTGTAGCTATGCTGGTATAACCGTCGATTTCTGGGGAACACCAATTTTGAACTTGAAGAGAAAAATCATCTGACGTTGAGACCCCGACAATCGACTCATCAATGAAATTAGATAGATCACATTGCCACTAGCCATCATTGAAGGGGCTCGATAGAAGACTGTCGCCTACTGTGAAGCACATTTTTAGACTCGGATCATGTTCTAGTTTGAGAATGTATTTGTCTACATCTTACTGGACATAGAAATGCTACCGCGAAAACCCCCTTGGGGTTCAACTGATTGTGAGAAAGTTAAGGATATTTTTCAGGGACAAATGGAGGAGATAGTTAACCGTAAAAGTGATATCCACCCCCAGACAGATTGGTATGATATTCAAAAAGCTGTGGAAACAGCAGTAATATATACTACTAATTTGAACCAAGAAGTTTAAAAAACCATTGAATTCCAGAGATGTCGACAGAACTGCTCGGAAACTCATCTCATCTGGCTCCAAGTACTCTGAAGTGCAGAGGCTACTTAAACGAACTCTGATAAAAACCTGCTTAATGATCGTGAGCATTGGAGGGTGGCGAAAGCAGGAGGTATGGACAAGTTAGCGGCGATAGGTAACGGTAGGCAACTGTTCAGACTTATCAAGGAATCAGGTATTAAATATATGCTTGTTAGTGAAACTATCTTGGAAAAAGACTGGATTATTGTTCTCTCTCGATCTGGGAAATTGAACGATGGATAGAACACTTTAGGGAATAGTTCGAGTGAACTTCAGCTACACTTCACTTACCCATTATTTTTATGCATCCTAAATGACGAATGGACATACATCTTTTAACTCTTGATGGTGCTGAAAAGGTTACAGGGAATCTGAAGCAAGGAAGAGCAACAGGGTCTAACGGGCTAACCTCTGAGATTTTTGAGAGTGTTGGTCCAGTTTTAACAGGTTATTTATTTATTTATTTTAGCACATAGATATCGGTATAAGGAGGCACCAAATACATATGCGCCACACGAATCTCAATTGATTTGTGTGAGGGCTGTGATACTGCTCGGGTGCCCAAACCGAAGCAGGTGGTTTTCTTAGGGGACCACACCCCGAGCCTTTGACCTGAAGATCTGATCCACAAGACAGTGGAGCATCGTGAGGAGATGCAGTCCCATGGTAGCCGGTAACCAACGATTGGTTCATAAGCCATTTATTCTCGCAGGATACTGGAGCCCATGTGAACCATTGGTTTGGGATCCGGTTATAGCGCCGGACATTCGCTTTTCGTCCTCTCATTTTCGTAAACAACACCCCTTCCACGTGAAGGCAGTGAGTAGGACTTCCCTGGCAGGGGCTATGTACGCGTGGCCATGTGAGAGCATTTCGAGAGGGTGAGCGGACTCTCCCCACTCTCGGCCATACCAGGGCATTTGGGGGCAGTTTTAACAGGTAGATTAACTGAAGTCTTAGCTAAAAACTGAGAACTGGATGTAATCTCATCGGACTAGCTTTGATTACTGATCGTCCTAGTTTATAAGAAGGGACTAAAACCATTTTGTGACAATCACAGAGGTGTAAGTTTAACTAAATTAGTATCTAAAATACTAGCCTGGACGATACTTCGACATCTAACTCGATCTCGTAAAGAGCAAACCCCAGAAAAAAACTAGGATGGTTTCAGACCTAGACATAAATGTACAGATCAAATATTCTCCCTTCGGCAGGTTCTGGAAAATAGACACACTTTTCGATGTCCAATAATAGATGTAATTCTTGGCCTTAAGGTGGTTTTCGACTCTGTTAGTCTGTGAATTTCTGTGGGAGTATCTGCCATTGAAAGGCATACCGAAGTACATTAACGTTGTACAGGCTCTCTATTCGGACACTGCTGGTCTAGTCAGAGCTTATGGCGAACTGTCATTGGGATTGGTTACTTCAAGTGGTGCTTGGTAGGGTTGTCCGCTTTCCCCATTTTTATTTAACTTTGTCATAGACATGTTTTTAAAGACAACACTTTCATCGTCTGACTTCTCAGGGTTTGATATACCAGGAGATTCACTTGTTGACCTAGAATACTCAGATGACATAGTGCTGTTCGGTGAATACGTTGATAAATTGTAGTCTTCTATCCACCTTAAGCAACAATGTAAGCATATTTGATTCTCCCCCTCCAAATGCAAAACGTTGCTTCAGGACCGGCCTGCGTCTACTTTCGAATTAATGATAGGGAGTGCATCAGTTGAACATATCAACCGCCTCACTGACTTTAGGAGTTTCATCAGTCTTGGTGGTCTGGAGTCTAATGAAATCTCTTTACGGATTCGAAAAGCTCGATCGGCTCTTTTGAACTTTCGTTATATAGGCGAGATACCCGTCTGCCAACTAAAGTGCGAAAATACTACAGGTCAGTTCGCTCCGTTCTACTTGGTGGTTATGAAACATAGCCTTTAAGAACAGGGGATATTTGTAGGTTACTGGTATCGAACTATATGTCTTCGAAGCATTACTCATGTATTGTGAAGCCAGTGAGTATGCAATCCATTGGTTACGAATGGGGTACTAGATACAAGTCGGAAGTTTATTGATGAGGTAGTAAATCCTCATCTGGTGAGCTGATTAGGACGTGCTACATATCCCCATTCACTGTCTACCTCGAAGAGCGATATTGTCTGGTATAGTGGTGGCTTTTTGAATGGTCTTTGTCTCATGATTCGGACATTTTATACGCGTGTATTAATTGTCGTTCTGGTTTTCACTATGTGCATCAATCTTGTGGCTTGCGAGGACAGCTTTCACCGTGAGGCGTCATAATTCCTCTTTCTAAAATCCATCAACAGCTTCAAAGTGGCTGCGTGAAGAGTTTGGTTGTAGACAGTGTGCTTGATGAAAGGCATAGATCAGTTTATGTTGTCAATTTGAGAATTTTCAGCTCCAATCCAGTTCAGTCCTGTTTGATGATTGGTCTAAAAATATATTGCCAAGATGGCTTAAACCTCTAGACTAAAACACTACATTAGCTCAAGAAGTTAGGTGGTCACTCTAATCCTTATACCGAAATGCTGACTTTGCAGTTAACTTCTTTTGGGTGATCGTAATTAAAGATTACAGATTTTACACAATCTCTGGAGTTGTTTGGTTTAATAATTTCTCATTATTGTCCCACCATATTTATTCCTATTCATTTCTGTTCGCTGTTTTCTAACCTTCTCACTTCAATCAGTATCAATAGTATTTTATCCTTTTGAAGTGTGTTAACTCGTGACAGTGTCAAGTCCTGTGTTGTTTATAGCTACCTACCATATATATTCCTTATTGTTCTTGTTTTTATTTAGGTCGTACGATTTCATAGAGGTGGTAAACCCATTTGGCTGAGTAACAATCCTATAGAAGTTGAAAAATGTGAAGTTTGCGGTGCTGAACGTGTTTTCGAATTTCAGGTATGACATGTAAAAACAGTTGTTGATGTCGTTCCATGTTCTACGTTTTCAAAGTGTTGTAGGTGACTTCAAACTAACCATATAGTTTTATGCATAAATGTATGTAATTGAAAAATCCAAGTCATGTAAAATTGTCCACCGTATAATTGTATGGCTATCTATAACATTATTAGAATCATTTATTTGCACAGTAATATATTTGATCACCATATGCCAATGAAATTAATGCTTTAATCCCAAATGTTAGTCGAGGTTCACTTACATAGGACTTGTGCAATATACTTACCAAGCCAGTTAATACAGTGTGATAGACTGTGTTGAGTGTGAACTAGTTGTAGACATCGAACCTCATCCTCACGATTACTAGTAAGTTGGTTTAAGGAGTTAGTCGTCAACGCCAATAAATTTAATCTTGCAACTATTTTGGAACTGTACATCAGGTTTAAGCTTGGTATCTTTAAAGTCCCTTTCAACATGTACCAGGAAACAGGCAAATTTGTTTAGGAGTCAAGAATGCTAATCTGTTAATGCTTTGTGTACCCTAATGATTCATACTCACGACTCAAATGAGCATTTTTACAAGTATGACTATGTTCATTGCCTGCACTTATACCTGAAGTATTCTGCAAGTTCGTGTAACTGTTTAGTTGTATAAATTCTATCTGAGGTGTTACAAGAATGATCGGTCATCGCGTAACAAAAACCGTTGCATCATATGCAGATTTAGCCCATCTTTCACAAAGTTTTGACTTTAATGGGATTATAAATGTCTGTTTTGCAACACATGTTTGCTTTGTCCGCGCGACATTTAGTCTTTTCATAGTATGTATTCTGTCATTTCTATGTTCCTGGTATTACACACTTAATGACAATGGTATGTAACATGTATTCGGAGACGGCAGAAATCTTGATTGAACCTGTAGAAAGTAATTTCTTACAGATGCAATTCCAAACTAATCCCCAGACTGTTAAGCACAGAGTCTTAGCTTAGCTTAAGTCAGATCAAGTAAGCTGGGTTGATAAACTTTACCATTAGTGTGCAAAAATAAATAATACAGTCTATCAAACAAGGAAAAAGATCGACGTAAAAAGCATACCGAACAGTAATTAGAGCATAGGAAAAATGAGTCGACAAAACTAATTTATTGTGTGACAAACGTGAAAGATTATGATTAATGAATAAATAAGGGATAGTCATACAAAGTCAAAGAGTCAATGTAATGGTAGCCGCTAAATACTGTCATCGGTGGGTTCAATCACATCTTACAAAACCTTTAAATCTGTTTTTAATCACGGTGTTCAGCGGTTGATGCTTTATGAACAATTAATCTTGACTTTTCACTTTGTTTGAAAAAATTAAATTGATTACTTGTCTGTGGCCATTGCATTTTATTAAAAGAGATTTTGATCTTTTAGAGCGTTGCAGCTTCTTCGATGAAGTTTGAGTCATCGAGCTCACATCTGGTTATATTATATATATATATATATATATATATATATATATATATATATATATATATATATATATATATATATATATATATATATCTTTTGCGTGGTTTTGTTTACTGCATAAAGTCTATATTTTGGGAATATTGTGGTTAAAAACATAAAAGGCCTTTTAAAACGCTTTTATCTTGCTTCCGCAGGTTACTCCTCAAATATTGTATCACTTAAAATTGGATAAAGTTGGTGAATTAAATCCAGATTTCGGTTCGCTTTACGTTTTTACTTGTTCTAATTCATGTGAACTTCCTAGAAGAAAAAAATGTACAAACAACGCAGAAGTATCGCCTTCTAAATGTGATAATGCTTTTATTGAATATCAACGTGAAATTGTCATTCGTCAAATGGTTCCATAATTGATTAACAATTATTTTTATGTGAAGGGTTGAGGGGCTTGATTCTAAAATAAAAATTGATCCAAATACAGTTTTGATCAGTAGTTCTGTTGATTAGATATTGATATAAAATTGTGTAAATCAGTATCACTTTATTTTTACAGTGTTAGACATTACTTTATTACCATCAGTTATTATAAAAAGCGCATAAAGTTCTCTTCCACTATTCTGTTAAATGTTGGAACGCATCTGTTTTCGTTATTATTTATTATTAATCTGTTGATTTAATCGATTAAAAAAACGTTTAGAATGTTATTGCTACCACCAAACAGATCGACAACCGTATTAAATTTTGGAGTGCTGAAACGATAATCCCTGTCTGTTCGTATTAACTTGTAGCGTCTACACCATTGATAGGTCTGTATCGATGGTGTAAGGAGATAATTATTATCAATAAACTGCATTTATGTTCTATTGATTTGGAATAATTCCTTATATGCAATGAGGGTCTATGTAACTCTTAATTAATGCCACCCAGAAGACTTATTTTCATATTGTTACATCAAAACTTATCTAAATAACATAAAATATGGACGTCTAAATGTATATTTCAGTAATTTGTAAATTTTACAAGTTACCAAAACAAGAAGCTTGGAAAAATTAGCTCTAGAAAGCAATCAAAAGTAATGAAAACCAGATATTTAAACAAAGATACCGGTATCATCCTAAAGTTTACGACATGCTTTACCAGGGTCATTAGCCACATTCCTTAATAAACACGACCACGTTAAGTGACTAAAGCCAATTAGCATTCAGCTTGACCACTTAGGTTCCGTTTTGGATAGTTGAAACTACGAATTCTCAATCGAAAAACTGAGATGTGGCTGATTGGTGTTTGTTTGTAAATTTCCTGTAAATAATATGACGAAACTCAATAAATCATTGAATAAGTTTTGATGAGCAAGTCATTTTCTTGTATACAATATAGAACAAATGTGATCAGAAGATAATTTGTATTCAAGATATGGTGGGGGCTAATTAGTTTACTGTATAGACTCTGACTGATGTTGGGAGCTATATTAACAGTCACCGTTTATCATCGAAATTATTGGTCTCTAAGTACGATTAGTCGTTGGAGACTAGGCGACATGCTTCAGAGTCGTCTATAATGACACAGGTGCAAATCAAGTACTTCATTCATAAACCAACCTCATTGTGATTTATGGAATATGGCAGAATGACAAAACAATATGGAAATGGAAAGAATACCAGATGCCTGGTTCGCTCCGTTCTCTCCAATGATAATTTTAAATTGGTAAATCGAAGTATATTTAAATGCCATAGACCTGCATAGTGGATTTTTTCGCAATTCTCACACCATCAGTATCATTTTTCTAACTTGCATATCTGAAGTAATACAGTATATTCGTTTTGTAAACCGTTCGGAGCGGGAAGTTATATTTCTGATAGTGAAATATCAAGTTATAGTTGTGGTATTCTATAACTCGCAAAATTTCCACGAATGCAAGTAAAATAGGGAGATCATTATATTATTAGGTTTATGAATATCTGAATGGCATTAGAAATAGTAATCCCGCGGGGAAGTTCCTAAAATTGGCCGTTCCTATGCTGTTGTGGAGATGTTATATTCACTGGCTAGATTATTAGAATAAATTCATGTTTTGTTAATAAAAAGGATTTATTAGTTCTGGTAGATTTCGATACATACATATTTATGATTACATCATTAGAAAGTCTTTAGATCCTATTATTAACATTTCATTGTTCTTCAGTTATCATCAGCAACATTATGTTAAAACATAGAAGTACGAAAAGATTATTCCGTGCGGTGGATTGGTGATCAAGCTATGTGATCTTAAAGGAGTAAGTTGTAAGTTCGATCCCTAGTTCGAATAATTTTACTCAAGTGGTCGGATGAATGACGGTCTTGAATTTAGGGAATAGAATATATCCAGTTATAACATCGTCTTTTGTTGTCTTACGACTAGTGAAAATATTCTAAAGCTTAAATTAACTACTTGCAAGTAGTAGAAATGTCTTGGGAAAATAACTTGTTTGCTTTAATACTTCAGATTGAAGGATAGCTGAATTCTTGATTAAATTTGAAGATACCTAACTGGTAACTATGTCATGACTTGGTTTCATTTACCTGATGAAAATTCAACAGATAAGTTGATATTATAGAGTATATTATTGAATTTCGCCAATAATTATTCACAAAAAATTAAAACGTCTTGTCTTTATAAATTTACATTTTGTCCAGTTGGTTGTAAAATCTTGCGGTTAATTTTGTTATGTCCTTATGCTCTGTGAGTAAATCGCCAATGAGGACATTAACTTATACGACCTATGCATTGTGCCGAACCAATCACGCGTTAACCATTACGAGCAGCCCAAAGTCAACTCTAAATCAGTATTGATTCTTGTCTCCTAGCTCTGTCCGTTTAAGTCAAGAACGTAATCTCATATTTCACTGTATGAATAGTCTGTTTTAGACATACATAGCTTATATAAAAGTTAATCATACCATAAAATAGAAAATAATTATAAAAAGGCCAGAGGTGGCTGTGAGTATGAGATACTGTAACTAATAAATGGGGAATAACTTAATGGCAAATCGTATAAGATTAGGTAATAGGTAGAATGAAAGGATTATGAATATATATATAATCTAGCTACTCAATATTTATCCAACTAGAATATATACAATAATAGTCCATATGTAATTCCTAATAGTTACCATTTATATATTATTCGTTAGGATATGACAAATTTTATGTGAATTGAGTCGACCGAGTGCTCCAGAATAAGTTTCGAATCAGTGTATGTAAACCGATCATTCTTCAGAAATCATCCTTACTTTAGTTGCGTTGTACACTTAGTCGAATTCTTTTGACCAAGTTTGCAATTGGCAACTGAACTAAATGGCTGGTCAGAGCGGTGTGTCTTGTCTACAGTTTCGGAGGGATTATTAAGTAGCAGTATACCTGTTTCGTGTTGGTTGACATGCATCAGCAAGTTGTATCTACACGAAGAGATGAACTGCGTATTACGCACTGTCCGATTTATGCAATCGTTAAAGTAACAGCAAGTTAGTAACGACCTGAACAGCCTAGTAGTATTGTTTCTGAATAATGTAAGTTCAAACTGTTGGAGGGAGACACTGGTTTCCTCACATCTGAAGATTCGTTATTATCCCAGATGTCAACCAAAATGAAATGTGTATTCACGGTGGTTTTGCAACAATCTCTGTTGATTGAAAATGAAAATCAATGATATTTATTACAGTTGGGTCTTTTAATTTCCACCCTGTGGATATTTTCAAAATGAGTTCCAGATTATGATTTTAGTAACGGCATTAGTAGTCTCTGGGATACCTGCATCGTAATCTCAAAACTTAATTGGAGGATCAAACGTGATTTTTTCAGTGTCATTAGTTGATATCATGTTAACACATTGTCTACATAGGAAGTAGTAATACTTAATGTTATAAGTTGGATGCTGACAGTCGACACATTTGAAATCCACTTGCCGAGTGTTGGACAGTTATCAACCGAAGGCAAGAAAAGACAGTTGCGCAGTGTCGTGAGTTGACTGAAGTTAGACAATAATATCATTGGATATTGATTCCGTGGTTTAAGGCTTAAGATTTTACGTGAGAGACCGAAGATCCTGGATTCTATACCTTATAGTTGGGGAGTGAATGGGCATTCCTAAGAAGGCTCATGTTAGATCTAAACAGCCATTCAGTACTCCCTAGTTTTCAGTGGCGGTCTAGATAATATAACTTCGTGATTTAAATTTTATCTTAAATAATATCAGGTATCATATATTTTGTTTCATATTTTGACGGTCACGTTTAATTATCTGAGTGAAATGAAAAAATTATTAAATTTTTTTTCGACGACATTTTGAATAGTTGCTTGTTTATAATTTTCTGGCAACATTTAATATGGAAATAATAAATTAGATTAAACTGTCGACCCAAGGTCATCACAGATTGAGTTACATATATTTCAATATTATAATAATGAAAAATTGTACATATTTATTCATGTATACCATGTAAGTTATTCTACGTGTTGTTGTACCCTAACATCCCTGCATTCTTGCCTCTTTTTTTTCGAAAAAATACCCCACCCCAAGTTTCATTCAGTTAAAGTTATTCAAGGTCATTCTGATGATGATGAAGTTTGAAATCCAATTCCAATTCGTCAAATTCACTGTTTTATCTATACAAAACGAGTATTTCAAATAATTACAAAAAGGTAATCTTAATATTACAAATGAACAGATGTTATGTCAATTAATTTAATTTTATCCCATTTTATTTGTTCTAAACAAAATGATAAAATTTTATGTCATGGAATTATGATTTTTGGTGAATAAAACAGTTTTCAATTGTGTTTAGCAGAATGTAGATTTACTAATTAATTATGATGTGGACTGAAGAGAAGGAAAATAGTTTTTTGTATGTTTTTTTTGACTGCTAACATAAATTCATACGTGTACCAAAAAAAATTGTGGATAAATAATATTTGAATAAAACAAATAGGTAAAAATGAATGGTGTTTAGAGTCTACTTTCATAATAAGTGAATAAATATATAAATTTATTTTAACTAATGTAATGCTGTAGTATACAGTGCTGATTGATGTATAAGTACTTGAATATGATATAAATGTTAAGAAGTGCCTTTAATTATACATGAAACTACATAAAAACCCATGTTTAGTACGAATAAGTTCAACCAGTTAGAGCCATTTGTTAATAATACCTGTGGCTGATGAATTCGTTTTCCTTTTATAACTGACTTATCAAGTATTCAAATCACTGCTGATTTCAGTATATTTTCTGGACACATTTTAGCTTCATGTTAGAGTGTGATAGTGGTCTACGGTCATAAAATCGTTCAGTATTCAACCTTAATAATTATCGTTGATATGACTTATATTTAGTAGAAATGTTGTGTATTAAATTCGTTTATTCAAAGGATTACTCACTCTATTTTTAGCTGCATTTTATTGAAGAACTAGTGTACACAGACTATTTTGTGTTCAGCGATAAGTAAAAATAAGCACTAAACCTTAGGTGTGTCAGCTTTTTATGATGGATTTTTGACATTCTGAACTTAGTTATAGGTTTTTTTTAAATCATTTTAAAATGTTATTCAGAACGTGAAATTTAAGATGTTCCTAGATTCCTTGATTAATCTCTGATTAGTGATTGTTGATACACTTATTAGAACCTATCACTTATGTAAGGGACTCAATATTGCAGAGTATTTTTGTTACTGACAGAAGTTTAAAATATTTGTGAAAGCTTTATTTGATATACCATTCATACCCATTAATACTCTGAGTTCTCTGGATATTGCGATAGACTAATCAACGTCATATTCAAACACGCAATAATTAAGGATTTGAGAATTTCACGGTTCATACTTCGAAAATAACT